ACTTGAAACTACTCACCAGCCACTCCCAAATATTATATATATTATATTTGGTCTCTCTCTCATTCTTTGGATTTTTGTCACTTGAAATTACTCACCAGCCACTCCCAAATGCCAGTGTGAGCAACATACTTGGGAATGGTGACGTCTCCAATAGAGAATGAGCTATTAACGTTTCCTGCTATTCCAAAATGCACAATTCCAGTAACATCAAACAAATCAAACAACTGTTGACTTGCGGCTGCTGCATTCACCTATGAACACAATGGAAATAAGACATACCATTAGCACCAAAATTTGAACTTCTAGTGATATATGTATATATTAGAAAAGATCTTGTCAGCCCATGGGCTGATGGAATACTGTAAACCCGATAGCCCATATTGAATATGGACAATCTGGGTCAATCTACAGTCCCAACTGTATTTTATATTTGAATTTTAATTATTTTTATATAAATATAAATAATATGAAATTTGAAATGCCTATTCTTCTCATCAATATGCACCTAATAAAAATATAAAAAAATAATTTATAAAACAATAAATTAATCAAAATACCCTTAAAAATTTCACATATATACACAAAGAAAAGCATCACAACACATTGTCGTGATCCGCAAAGTACCATCGTTGTGAATTAAAAAGCATCACGGCACTACTAATGCCGTGAGATGTGCCATGATACTCAACGCACCATGGCGGTGCTTCGAGGAAGTGAGAGAGAGGAAGGGACATGAGGTGAAGTAAGGAGTATCACGGTCCTATTAGAACCATGATGCATCGACAGTATTTTGGGGCAAAGAAAAAAAAGTGAAGGAAAATAAACATGGAAGTAGTTTAAAAAAAGAAAAAAAAAAAAAGGTTAATTTTGCAACTTTAAAGAAAGATATGAGATATTTGTCATAAATACCCTTGGTATTATCAGAGCATGCACTATGCTCCCTAGGAGGATATTGTGTACCTCCTCCCTTGCTCAAAGCACCTACCTACTTAGGATAAATGTTTTGGTCTAAAATTTGTGGATACACATAGTAATTACTAGACGTTTATTTTTAAAAGAAAATTTGGAATTTTAAGTAACATTTGGATGTAGCCCTTCAAAAATTGGACGATCTCGAGGTATACATTTTTTTAATATATAGAGAGTTTATTTCGATATTTGTTTGTCAAGATTATTCTATGGATTGTAAAGATTACATCCCAAAACTTGAGATTTGGATTGTAAATATTACATCCCAAAACATGAGATCTAGAAAGTATTCATAACATGTGTTTTACCCAAGGGAGGAAATGGATAGTATCCTCCCGGGAGAGAAGGAAAATTTTCACTAATATTATTTATTTCCTTTTGGTAAGAGTGATTTTCTTTCGTGCAAGTTATTGTGTGGTAAATAAAGTGATAATTACCATTCCAACTCCACATCTCACGTAGATGACTTTCTTACCGTGAATCTTCCCCACACGAAATCTACGCCCTGTTACATTCAATTTCTGTTAACTTCCCTTCCTTTTTTCACAATTTCCATGAGAGAGAGAATTCCAGTGAATTTGGTGAGAGAGATTGATTTTCAAGAAATGTGACAAGACAGAGGATTATGATGGTAAAGAGAGAGGCTCATGGGACTAGGAGCATATTATTATCAAGGACCCGGCTTTTATGAGTCGGGTGACTCATACTATTCTTGTGCGGGCTCCCTCAAACACCCATGAAAACAGTTTATATAAAGTTGAGGCTCTAAACAATCAAATTAAGGTGCACCTAAACAATTCACTAGAAGAGATTGTTTTGATGTTGAATAACCCTCAAATCGATCACCTCAATCTCGAGAGGTATAGATGAGAAAAAAAAAAAAGGGCTTTAAAGTTTGGAAAATAGAGCATTTCGTAATGTATTATCCAGGTTGTCAATTTTCAACATTTCTAGGTGTTTCTATATTTGCTCGATCTACAGTACTTTTGAAACTTTAAATTTTATAATTAAAGACGACAATAAATTTTGAGTCAATCAAAAAATTTTGCTATCGAAAAATCAGGACCTTATTTAGAAGTGCACCTTACTTTGATAGTTTAGGGCCTCACCCGTATAAAAACCAACACCCTTTTTATACAGTTATTAAATCCAAATTTGCATAGATCTAAATTACAATGATCATGAATATAAAAAATAAAATAAAAATTTAAAATATAAAATTTTTTCCTATCCATTTAGATAGGAATCTTTAGTTGTGGGGGTTCATCTTAAAGATAGGGCTTATGATGCTCAATCTAGAGAGAGAGTCTTGTCTGAAATGTCATATGAAATGAGTGAGAGAGAGAGAAAGAGAACGGTAGAGAGAGAGAGAGAAAGAGAACGGTAGAGAGAGAAAGAGAGACCTGAGAGATCGAGGAAGGGGTATTTGGGATGAGGCTTCAAAGCGTTTGAGTCAAAGAAGGCCTTCTCTTCTGGAGGATAAACGGTTACCACCCCAATGTAAGGCCCCTCACCATTCAACTCGCCGATTAATTGCAGAGACCGCTTGTCTAGTGGCGTAGCCACCGAATTAATCGCCAGGAGAAGCAAAATAATCGCCGTAGAAATTGCCCCCCACCTTGTCTCTTCCATGCTTACGCAGTAAGACCGCATACAAATGCTTCAACCACTCTTATATTTATGGTCCTCAATCCTGACCCTCTTGCCACTCTTTATATCTATGGTCCTCAATCCTGACCTTTGCTTTGCCCTCTAATCGGACGCTAGAGATTTATTTTCTGGATTTTGTTGATTTTTTTGTTATTAATTAATCAGCCTGCTTTTTTTGCCCTCTAATCGGACGATGGAGATTTATTTTCTGGATTTTGTTGATTTTTTGTTATTAATTAATCAGCCGTCTGATTTGACTATTGTTTTTAAGGGTGAGGTTTGTATGAGGTTGCTTGATTTGACTTTTAAGGGTGAAGTATGTATAAGGTGTCAACTTTATACTACTGAAGCATGGTGCACCTCAAAACTATGCCGAGAATGCACTTTCGGTGTCGTAAAGCCTTGTGATGATGTGAAAATCTACTGTGGCCCCTAATTATAAAAGAGTAATGATCTTATGAGACCTTCCCACACTTATGTGTGTAAGACTTTAAAGGATCATCATTAAATTGATTTCAATGGATCATCATTAAATTTGGTACATATCTCTAAAAAAATCAAGTCCGACATGTCCATGTGATAACTTTTCGAGAGATCTATACCAAATTTAATGGTAATCCTTTAGGGTCCTACACACATGGGCGTGGGAGGGTCTCATAGGATCATTATTTATTATAAAATTTAAAGTTCTATAAATGGTGATGATCGAGCATATCTATAAACACTTGAAAAACCTTGAATATGGACGGTCCAAATAATGTGTTAAATGATGAACTATTTTTAGGACTAAAAATTCCTTTCTTTTTCACGTCTATGGATATTGAGGTCGAGATAATCGATTTCAGGGTTTTCCAGCATAGGAACATCCGCCTTTAGTGGGTTTTCTAAGTGTACCTTACTTGTACAGTATATGGTTTACACCTTATATAAACCTTTTCATTTTTTAATAATGTAAAGAAAAGTTGTTGCATGCGTTAAGGGATGTATTTCTACATTTGTATCCCCCAATGCATAAAATATCCCTTTCAGAGATGTATGCATATATCTGGTCCTTCAAAAAAAGTTAAAAACCAATGGTCTACATATTTTGTTCATGAAATTATTACCTTTAGTTTTTGAAACTTATTTATTTTTACATATTCATATTCTCCATATTAGGGGTTATATAGTTCATAAAATTTAGGTCCTAAATCCGTCTCAAAAATAGATTTTTAAGAGGGGACTCATTTCTACATATAAGTCCTGAAACTCATAGAAACCTTATCTGCAAAGTAAAAGGACTAGGTTTTCGTGTGCAAGTTGTTGCCCGTGCTTGTGGGTGTGTAAGTGGGCCAAGGATAAAGCCTGGCCCTGCCCATTGGTATGGCCCTTTGATTGAATGGACTTGCTGGAACCTGTGAAGGGGTCCAAACTTGGCTCTTGGTGGGCTAGACTTTCAAGCCCATTGGGCTAACCTAGCCATACCTTATACGAAGGCCAGATCTAGCCCGTTAAATTAATGGGCTCAAATTAATGCATGAGCATCGTCACATTACCCCAGTGTTCTAAAACTTGGAACGATGGGGTGGATTGTCCACACCACATATCCATGTCAAATTACTAGATTGATCCAAATTGATCTAAATCAGTGAACCATGAAAAATATAAAAAATGAAAATAATAAACAAATTAAAATGAGTGCTTATAGGGCAGGGAATGAAGGGGTGAGCTATAAAAACGTTACATAAGGTCAAAAACCCAGGGATTGAGCCTCGGGGGTTTGCCCTGGTAAAGATACCTACTCAGAACCTTTTCGGTCCCAACCAATCCTGGTCCAAATTGGTGATTTCGATCTAGGCTGTTGAGTTTTGAAACACTAGCCGGGCCCACGACTGTATGATCGGTTTTCATTGCTTGAACAAACTAGTTTTAACCCATTCAACCAGTTAAATAAAATTAGGAATTTTTTTATTGTATTTTATATTTTAAAATTATTATGTCCAACATTTGTTCATTTTTTTTTCTAAAAATTCATCAAATTGATTCAACCAATGGTTGGACTGATTTGGGCGTAGCTGGTGCTGGTGCTGGTGCAAACAATCCTTGGTCAAGTTTTTTCCATGTAGTTTTGGCATGCATATTGAAGTTGTTCTCGTTCTTGTTTGGAGTGTAGTATCCAAAAAAGAATAAAAGTACTCCCACTCCTACATTTTTTTTAGTGCAGTATACAAAAATGAATAAAAGAAGTAATCCCACTCCAACATTTGTCCGTGAAAGCAAATCTACATTTTTCTCACATGGGACCATATTATCTTTCTACTACATAATATCATTTTTCAGTAGTGGGTAGTATCTTCGTACCTAGTCCGTGTACCCTCAAAAACAGCTAACTCCCTAATCTACCTTAAAAATGCACAGCCGTTTCTCTTTCCCACTGAATTTAAAATAATAAATAATAATAACAATAATAATAACTTACCTCTGGTTGATGGTGGGGCAAAATTGGAAAATGCCGCACTTAGAATTTCTAACCATGATCACATGCTCTTTGATGGGATTGTAAAAGAGTTAATAGTCTAGGTTAAAAAAAAAGAAATCAATGGTAGAATAAGAAATTACAGGATAAAAGACAATCATTTTTATTTACGATATGTCCCTGTAACCAGGAAGAATAAACAAGAGTGTGGATTTTGAACTTCCCTACATATCTCTTTTTACCTATTTTTCTCTCCTTTTTTTTTTTTTTAAAGATATGTTATTCCTATGAATGGAGAATTTATGTTCATTTTTATATCTCGATCAAGGGAGATAAAGAGAAGTTATATATATATATATATATATATGGACAATATAATGAGATCATTTATTTTTTATACAAAAAAATTACAATTACGTATAACTATTGATGTCAAATCTGATGGCCTAGGTGTATCATAAAATTCGAAAAAAAATAATTTAAAGTTTAAGCTTAATCAAATACAAGGATCTAATTTTATAATTAATGAACATTAATCCCCATCACTTTGTAATAAATGGTCTCATTGTATATTTTTCCAATATATAAACATAATACACACCAAAAAAGAACATCATCAGTTTGGAGTACGGAAGGAGTTTCGGACGGCTAGTATTTATCTAGAGGCTGGAGACGTGCAAGGCGCAGGAATCCCTATCGTACGCGCCAGAACGTGCCACGCAATAGCTATTACTCCGTAACAAATCATTAACAGGGCAGTTAGTCAAGAAGAGAGAGAAAGACGCGCCTCGCTTCTGTGTTCTGTTTTCTCTCACTAGAAGGTAAGAGAGCGGAAGTGAAATGGCCATTTAGACATTAAGGTTTTAAAATTTTGGAAACAATTTAGGCTGTGTTTTCAAAAAAAATTTATTTTTATTTTTTTGTGATTGTTTATTAGAATGAAAAGAGTGTATATTTCAAATTTTCTATCAAACAAATTAACATAATATATTTTTTAAAGGTTGTTGCATCATATTGTTATGCAATTGTTGCATGAAATTATTGCTTATATATATATAGAGAGAGAGAGCAATGATTCAATACAACGGTTGTATCATAATATAATGCAACGACACTTCTAGAAAACTATGTTTGTGGTATTTGTATGACCTCAAATTCTGTACACACACTCTCTTAATCTCAATAATCAATCCACCAAAAAAAAAATTTCAATTTGAACCCTAAATATGGTCAAAAGAGTCCCTCTCCAAAAATCTAGACCAATTATTTTTTTAATTTCAAAATATTAGCCTTTATAAACTTAAAATCATTTTTTTTTTTTTTTTAACATTGTTCATCTAATGATAATAAAGCAATCCAAAAAAATTGGAAATGCAAAAATCCTTCTAAGGCTTAGATCTAAGCATCTCACAAAAATGAACGGCCTATGTTATTTGGGATAAAAAAATACTTTTTAGGTTATGTTTACAATTTTTTCTTTTTTTGTGATTGTTCATTAGAATGAAAAGAGTGTATATTTCAAAATTTGGATCAAACAAATGACCATAAAATGGTTTTTTAATGTTGTTGCATCATATTACTATGCAACGGTTGCATGAAATCATTGATTTTATGTATATAATCTAAACTTTACGACTATTTAAATTACAAATGTTAAAGATAAAGAGAGTTGTGAATGGTGGATTTACTAATTTTCTATTTTATTTTTTAAAAAAAGTTATTTTTTGTGGGTAATTTTGTAAATATTACTACAAAACAATGAGTACTTTTATCCACGCTACGAAAGCTAAAGTTGAAATTTTTACTAAAAGACAAGGACACTACAAATAAAATTCCAGGACACTAACTTTTAAAATACTATTGAGTTATCTATTAAAATAAGTTTTTAAGCAAAAAGTAATGATCTTTTTGATAAATACACCCATCACAACCCCTTAGAACTTTAACAGTTGTATTTTGAGGGGTTATATATATATAACCTTCCAATGGGTAGCTATAATGAATAGTAATATAGGCGGAATTCTAGCTATCAAATCTTCATCATGTAGTTCAGAATGAATATCATTATTTTAATTTTAATTTTTTGGTATGTATACCTACCACTATTGCGCACTATATAAAAATATAAAAAATTTATTTTCAATCATTTAAAAAAAAATTACTGTTTATATGCAAATCATTGTGTAATGAAAATTATTGTGTAAAAAAAAACATATAGTTGTAGAGTAAATGAAATCATATAGACGCGAAAACCAGATTTTTATGAGCAGATGTTCTTGTGGAAGCCATTGAATAATTAAGCTGCCTCATTTGAGATGCATGAGTAACTGGCGTGTCACGCCCCAAGAATTTGCAATACTGATATTTCTGAGATGTGACAGTCAAAACATACATACATCTTTTGATAGGACAAATTTACAGTGGCGAATTGTTACAAAGTAACAAAATAAAGTTTAAGTAAAACTACAATATCTTCCCAAAGTTGATCCTGACGAGCACTCAAAATGAAACTGCAGTTATCCTGAAAAATGTTTACCATAATTTGATGAGATTGATTACTCAGT